TCTAAATAACATACTGAGCTAGTATCCGTTGCTGCGATGGCATTGTTGGCCATGCAAAGACTCCCAGTAAATCTACATCTTCATCGTCCTAGTCAGCTTTTTTTCGTCGACCTTCCTTTTCTCAAGATCTTGATCAGTCTCTGCAAGCTGTGTTTGTCTTACACTTTGAATGTGAAGTATTTTGAGGTTAATTCTCGCACTGGCTACACTGGCAAGTCTTACAACATTTTTTCTCCTCACGAAGTACTCTTTGCTACTCCGTCAACGTGCATATCTCACTTGTAATTACTTCCAGTTCCAATTTATCACGAAGGATTGGTCGATTAAGAGACTTGCTAGGCACCGTAGCACACAAACTACTCAAAGCAATCATTCTTTACCAACTCTTTGACAGCAACGCTTACTCAGCGCAGGTGTTTTAGTAAATTCTCAAGTATTTCAGCATGAAAGTGAAGGATTTTTGTTGAACTCTTTCAATGTCTTCTATGATCCTTCTCCCTACCAATGCAAACCCAGCTACCGACTCACAAACAAATAGTGATCGACTCTATAATAGTTCAACACATTGACGACCATGTAGATTTTTAGTCTGCCTTCAGGGACCAAAGCCTTTTACGGACCAGGTCACATTTTTCGACTATTATTACGCATTTTGCCATCTACAGTACACCTACAGTAAATCTAAAAGGCTGACAAAAAAGGTAGAGGTCGTTCCTAGATTCAGTGCAAAAGAAAGCTCATAGAGTGAGTCTATCCTAGGATAGTAGCCATTTCAGCAAAATTTAAGTCTTGACACACATGGTGTGTCAAGTAGTCTCACAAGGTAGTCATTGCTTGACACACCATGTGTGTCAAGCGGTCGTCAATGTGTTAAATAGCTAATGATCTTTGTCTGTTCACTACATGTCATTTCTATAATTCACGACGGATGCTGTTCAATATTTTATCGTCCTCAAGACGTTCCATCCAGGATTGCATTTTGAGGGCATTCATTTTCCCAGAGTATAAGAGGTGGGAGACGAATACCGCCGTTAGGCGCAGCCTCCGATAAAGACCTCCTCATACGGTATGCAATAGCATGTGCCGGAATAGTGGTCCACAAAGGAATGTGGGTATATTTCGTCCCAAAGCATTTATTGCAGGAAGTACTCTGATAATTATCATTGCTCCCTTTGAGCGTCAGTAAAAATGTGACTATCTAGGTCCTACTTGCATCGAATTTTTTCTGCACTATACGTTCATGACTCTTGATGCAAAAATGCTCCGCAAATAAGAAAGACAATTTTGGAATCAGCATTTCATATTCCAAATGATATCCAGTCCATTTCACGGGCCAAATTGACTAACCATCTTTCCCTTGTCAGACCCCGGCTATTCATCGTCACCACTATCACGAAAGGCTTTCTTTTCCATTACATTATCTGATGCTGGTATTTACAAATCATTTTTAGAAAAAAAAACAATGGACTTTGTAGCAGAAGTCTTGTCGAGCTCAATTCTCCGTAGGCGTTTTAGTCCGGGCTCGGCACAGGCTTATAAATAGTCACCTCGTGCCGAGCACTGGTCCTAGTAAGTTCCAAATCTCTCTCTTTTTTTGTACTATGTCAAACAAGATGCAATAGCCGAACATTTTCCCTGTCTGCTCGTCACGAGGGTAACTGGATGTTTCTTCTTGTGGCTCGTGGAAACTCGCAAGGGACTAGCTCTCTTCGATGCTGATAGATAGGTCAGAAAGGGCAATGTGAGCTCTTAAATCTTTGCCTCTTTGCACTTAGCAAACATTTCTTAAGAGGATCGAGACGATTAGCTCATTCCGTCACAACCTATGTCCTTACACGCTTAATATCGCTATACTCACGTTTTCTTTTTTAATAGCTGTGCCTGCTCAGTAGGATGACGGCAGACGTCATCAGTTCACATAGCATTCTCTAGACGCATATTCTTTTTAAAAATTCACTAAACTTTTTGAGGACTAGTCTCCTCACAAGTATCTTAGCTTTCCTCGACATACACAGCTGTGCTAAGTGGCAAGACGCTGCCTTCAGCACTTTTTGAGTTTCTTTGCCTGAGTTTCCCTTCCATTGCATCAATGAATTCCATCAAGAAGGCGCGACTTCCAATGCTCTTGTCACATAAAATGAGTTTTTTACCGCGGTATCGGATTTTTATTACAGACACATTCTTTATATTGATTCGCTTTCTGTTTTTCAATCCAGTGGCTCGTTAATTAGGTTGCAAGACCATTTGATATGCTCTTCCAGACTCATTACTATCATTCTTCACTGATATTGATGAATGCACTTAGCTAAAAGAAGAATCTTTCGAATTTTATCATTTTTTAGAAGTGCACCTACTCCCACTTGCCATCTGCGCAAAATCGCCTTTTTGTTCAAACAAATTCAAACAGAGGCAATCTTTGGCTACACGCTCTCGTATAAACTACTTTTATGTACCCTATAATGCGGAATTTATGCAAAAACTTGTTCCGATTCAGCCATTTTTTGAGTATTGACATGACCTGGGCTTAGGCTCAGAACAAGACAGCTCAGAACAAGATGCATTTTCTTATGTACAAAATTTGCCGGAAAGAAAATGCATAGCGTGCTTTATTTAGTACGTCTGCGCAATGAAATCCGTAAGTTCATTATATGAACAGCGTAAATGCTATTGCAGCAGAAAAAAATCTGGCTTGGAAGAATTGTAGAGAAACAGAGAACATTTTGAAAGCAGCATTTCATCGGGCATTTAGCAGTCATCCAAGATAAAGTCAAAACTCAAAAATCTCAATTTCTAATCAAAATGATCATACATCCGATTCCTTACGAACTCTAGGAAGGAACATTTAACCTCATCTCAACCCAAAAAATTGCTATCTATAGATTTTTCTTGCAAATTTTCTTAAATGTCGAATTGGCCATGATGTCACACAAATAAACAGCAATGAGAACATATCGTTTTCCGTACATACTCAATTTTGTCTTCAGTAGAATGCTGTTGACAAAGAAAACCGGGCGGAAATGAACATATTTTTTAATACCCATGCAAACTTCAAGTTCTGGCTTACCCATGAAATGTTAGGCTAGGACACTGAGATTACAGCTGAAGTCGAAACTTAAGAAGGCTGCTTCATGAAGATTTAACATTTAAATATGTCAATAAGTATATTATTTCTTAGTTATCCACCGTTGGAAGGATTTCAAAACGTACTCTTCCGAAACTTGATGAGATTTGCTCTACTTGCGAATTTCGCGTTAGTTCAAAAATATAAAGCTTAGGAGACCATGGGTTTCCCACTTCAACTCCTTATACAAACGATATAAATACAAACGGTATTGACGATAAGACAATTCGGATACGTTTATATCCTAAATGCGCCTTGAAATGCTGATCTCAGAACTGCCTTTCAAATCCCTCAAGCGTTTCAGACAAAGTGAAGAGGATGTTTGTTCGATTTCTCCAATAACCTTTGCTAAGTTTTTGTGGATCATTCTCACTTCTCAGCGGAGCTAGCACTCTTAATTATCTCCTACAACTGTAGGTGGCAAGGCCTTTGCTTCCTTCTGCTACGCCGCCCATTCGCAGAGTGTGTAATCTACAACACCAAGAGTTCCTTCATAACGCTACCTACGAGAAAGATGAATGCAGGGGTCGTCTTCTCTGTTTCATCAGCTGTCGTATAATTCCTCTTGTCCTCAATAATACTTGTTTTTCAGAAAGTAGTGCATATGCGTATTTGCTGAATGTTTCGCTGTAAGCTTTGGCACTGGTTCTATACTGGCCCACTGAATATTAAGGTGAAAAACCAGTCACTATCCATTTTCAATGGCAGTATCGAATTCAAAGTGAGCTAAAGAGTTGATGCGGTATTGCTCTGGAAACGCGGCTATCCATAGTGGCTAATCTCTCGGCATAGATTAATGCTTTCCTAACGCGCGCTCTCCTCGCTCCGATTACGTAGCGAAAACTTTCACCGCTCACCTTCGCGATATTTAGAAAAAAAAATGTATTTTTCATGATGATCATCCGTCTGGCTTTTGTCTACTTAGGCAAAGCGCCTTTTTGGATGAAATGCTTGGCTGAAATTCTACCGTGAAAAAATAGATTTAAAAGTGCAATGTCACATCAGATATCCTCATCGGAAATCTAAATCGCACTTCACTCACGAGCGCCCAAGACGAAAGCATCGCGAGGGCTTGCAGTAAATCTTTCTCACTGCCCACCAAAGTGGAAGATCCTCTGAATATTCATGAAAGCCACTTTCCCATTTCCTGCATCAGGCATTCGTCACTATTCTGAAAATTTTATTTCAATGTAGTGCGACATCTCATTACTCGAGCAGAAAACTAAGCTCCTTTCTGGCTTTGTTAAGCATTTGGATCAATACATCTCCATGTACTCGCGTTTTTTGTTCCTGCTCAGCGGCTTTTTAGAACGGCTCCCATGGCTAGGGACGCGATGCGCTGTTCAGCAATCTATTCCTTTCACAAACTTGGATCGCATCTACGAAAGGTCGAGCATACATTATGCGCTTGAATGCAGCTATTATGAGAACACTTTGTTATGCTTCTACATGTTGTTGCTGTCTGCTCTAAAGCTCAACGCCTCATAACGCTCAAGACTGTCTTTAGATGTCAGTTTTCGCAGTTATCTTGACTATGCGTCAACGTCTGATGCTTCATTGTTTTTAGCCTTCAGTGCTCTGGAAATGAACATACAACTTGCTGACTATCGATTTTTTTCTGACACTAAAATTTATTTTCATTGGGTTTCACGCATCGATCGCGTGTGGCATCTCGAACAAGTGAAGGGAGCTTCAAATAATATCATCCATAGAGGGGTACCGACTAAGCAACACTTCACCTCTTGATGTTTCGTGTCAGCGTTTCTTACCTGCAAGGCAAATTCAATACGCACCGAACAGCGCTTCGCAAACTCTTCGAAGCTGAAAGATATTTTATCTGGCGGTGACACTTGTAGCACCACGTGACTAACATGGCCGGATGTCGGAAACCGTACGGGAGAAACATGATCTGGAGTGGGAGGCAGAAGTCGGGACGGCGGCCGCCTTGGCCGCACCCGCAGCAGCAGCAGCTCGGGACGAAGTGAGTGAGAGCGGCTAACAGCAGGCCAAAGTGGCGATTTGGCAAAGTCATTATGCGAAACCCGACACCGCAAAGCACTCCGTGCCCAACTAGGAGCTAGTCTGCGGTAAAGCATTCATGCAGTATCGGTCTACCCTCGCACCCTCTCATCTTCCAGACCTCACGCGCTCGCACTCTGACTTGTTTTGAAAGTGTCGAAAAGAGTAGAATGAGGCAGTGCTCCATAACCATCCTCACTCTACGAGCACGATCTGCATCCGTTGCACACTGACACGTAGCACAAATGGTAACCAACGCTGGATGTGATCGTAGTTCTATATCTCTTCACTGTATACCGACTATATGGGACTCTGGTCGAATATGGCTCCAGAAGTCCACATACATAGTCCACACTAGTGAGCACTAGAAAATTCTTGTAGTTTGCTTATCCACTAACGATGCTCCTGTTTTTGATTGTATAAGCTCAACGTACCGTAATCATTCATTTTAAATTTAATCAGGCACTTGCTTTTTGCCCATATATCATGTCGAGTCAATTCAAAATTGCTCTTCTTTTGCTAAATCGAATTTATGAACATCGCGAGAGCTGGGTAATAAAGATGATAGTATATATATATATATATGTATATGTATATATATGAAGCATGATACCATCTTTGTTGAGGTCAATGCATCCACATGTATTCTATTCGACTTATCTGCAGTAGCTGCTACTGTTCTATCCCTTTTTTGGTGCTTAGAAATTCAGAATTATTGTACTACCTATCTGCGTCATCTCATATTTTGCGTATGCTTACTCGCTTTTCGAATTATATCTCAATGTTTCTCCCAACTTCACATGTCTGCGTGTTTCTGTACTTCACCTATTCTCACGGTCTTTCTCCTCGAAAAATCGATGTTGACGCGCCATGCTGAAGCTGTCCCCGTAATTCTAAGAGCTTATGCGAAAAAATTTGATGTTTTCTCGGCTCGAGTAATCAAATGCGCTTTAACGCAGCAATATGAAGCTAGTCACATCTCAAGTTACTCCATTTTTTCTTATTTAATGTCTAGAAACATTGAATTCATTCTAGGAGCTTGTCATCTAGAGTAGAAGCCTTTGCCAAATGCATTACTGGGTAGTTTTGATATATGTGTTTTTGCGTGCAAGCGAATACACGGCAGCTATGCCATACAACTTTGGTGGAAACTTAGTCGAATATTTTTCTGTTTCCTCCTATAAGCTGTGATACTTATTTATCCCGTCGAATGCGTACATATCTTAGCAGTGCGATTTAGCATACACTGAAGTATTCACACAGTTTTTCATGGGTTTCTGATCCCATCAGCTGATCAAAACGACTCAAAGGTCATCTAGATTATTTGAATTTTCGTAGTTTCCATCCATCACATACATGAATAACAAATCATCAAACCACTCGCAGATAGCAATTACATATGTTCTGATGCTGACATCATGATGTTCCACGTTTTAGCTTTGAGGCCGCGTGTCTCTGCCTCATTCGTTTCATTCGTCTTCCTCCCCCACATCCACGCTGTCGTGTAACCTTGGATTCACTAGGAATTGATTCTTCTGCAGACATGCACTCTACAACTCCGCTACTAATATTCCTCAACGGGCGCTCGCTCATGCACATTCTGAAAATTGCCGAGGAATCCACGAAGCCAGTGGCTCGCTTTATCTGAAAGTTGCATTATCCACGTTCGCGTCTTCGTGCGAGCCCAAATTGGAGCGCATGCATGGGAAGATGTCATCATCGTCGAGATTGTGTACAATTAGGTGAATTATGTACTTTACAAGCACGCCATATTTCGCTTTTGGCTTTCGCACATCCCAAGGTTTTTCGGCGTCCGCTCGTGGATTCGAAGGTTCGTTATGCGGCGCAGTCATCCTTCCAGCCTCCTTGCCATGCCGATGTCCATTCCATATATTCAGAGTGGACCTATCCCATTGCCATCATCACTTGGCGGTAGCTCAGCATCCATCGGCGTTCGCCACATCGAATGGCGACGTCTCGAAGCAAGTAATTGTGTGTCGCTTTCCGGTCTCTGGAGCACCGCTGAGAATAGGAGCTCAGTTGTTTACACGACTTCCTCAATTCTTTTCACCACTGGGGCCAGCAGTGGTCGTTATCGGTACATGTCGCACACTTCTAAACATCTGCCTATGTTTGTAGCCTATCGCAGCTCGATGCTTCCCAAGTTTCTCTATTTCTCGTCCACCTCGACAGCATTAGCGAGTAGGCGTGGACATGGGCACAGAAGGTGTTGCTGCTCCTCCGAAACGTGTGCCAATGTTGTTCTTCAAACTTGGCCAGCAAGGCAAAAAACTCCATGACTTTTTTTTGTTGGATTGTTTGATTACACGGGGAGTTTAAGTTGAGCTTGTGCTGTCAGGCAGATTTGCATTAGATCTCGTGACATAGTGGTAAAGACTAGTCCCGCATAACGAAGAACTAAACGATGTGTACAAGATTGTTATCTTCGAAACCTCACTGGGATTTTCCGCTCACGCAACTGTAGTCAGTGTGCAAGGGCAAATAACTGCAAGAAGCAGGTTTAATTTTAGCAGCCACTCTTCCACATTGACTTGCTCATGTTTAGTTGCTATTTAGTTGCTTATTTCAGTCTTTATCGCGAGCTCGCATCATGGCGCTAATAAGAGAGTTACCTTCATTCAACCTGTGCATTGTCTTAATCTCTTGGCACATTCATATCCATATTTTAAAAATCACCATACGTCGTTGCAGTTTAGTTCAACATTCATATCATGTGACATCTCATTCTACTTCACCTCCGCGTTCAAATTATTCCATACGTGTCATTGTAAAACATTGTAATTTGTAATTTACACACCAATGCCTAAGCTTCTCAACAGTTAGATTCTCTTCAAAGAGAGTTATGATCTACTATAGACGTTCCAGTGCCCAAACTTCAGTCAATGCTATATTTTTTCCTCACCATCTCTACTCCTATGCGCAAACCTCAGGACACGTTTATGCACTTCTGTGTAGAGATCATCGCCTTTTCAGAGACTGGAAAGCAGATTTTGAATACTGACACGCTGTTGCTTGATGCGCTCGCATTTTGATCCAATCACTTGAGGGTGAGTTTGCCATTCGTATATCATATGGTAAAGTTTTTGCCAAGTAAAACCAAGAAAAGGGTTTCTGTATACTTGCAGATGCTACAGCAACCAGTTCCCGAACTGCGCAGCTTCCAGTCGCTCTCGAAGTATGCGGGAGGCCCGAGGTAAGTCCGGAATGTACCATAACGAGCGCCTCCATCCGTACTGTTTCAGGTCCGTTCTTGGGCGCCGTACATCAAATGTTACGACGCGCCGACCGTCGCAGACAAAAAAACGATTTGACGACCTCGAGGTATACTTGGTATTTACTTATATGGAAGTTCCACGCGATTGTTGCAGGCCATTGGATCCACTTGCGGTTCCAGAGAAACTGTGTCGGAGTTGGCTAAGGTGAGCAATTCCTCTTTTAGCTGAAACTCGTATTCTTCTTCCAAAAGATTTTTGATATTCACAAGCTTCATCGATGACAGTCTCTTACTCAAAAAAACATAAAAATCAACGTTAAATGCTAAGGTATATAGAAACTAGTAGCTCTCATTCTAGCAGGGTCCCTCTGTTGAACCACCTCCTCGGTGGGAAAAGCAAGTGGAATGGGGAGAAGAGGAACACGTTGATGAGGCGGAAGACTTGCCTTACCCTGGGTAAGTAATTATTTTTTTTTTGATGTTCCGTGTAGGGTCAGGGTCAGTGTTGTTGCTTGCTGTCACCACCTCTATATTTTTCGATAGCGTTCATCATAACTTTTTCAATCCAGCAAACGCGTTTTTGTTTGCAATTTCTTCGATTTGCACAAGGACAGCTCAGTTCTTACATTCGAGGAACATTTAGATTTGCTGAGCCAGCATTGCGGTGTCTGAAACAGGCCCAACCACCGCGATCGTGGTGTTTGACATTGGTGATGAGTCCATGGTTCGACAGAGTGACAATGATCGTCATTCTTATCAACTGTATAACATTAGGTTGGTAATCACGTTTAGTGAACTGTAATGACACCGAAGTTTGACACCGAATCTTCCGTAGGTATGTATCGACCGTGCGATGACGGCCCAAGTTGCACAACGTATCGCTGCAATATCCTCGCCTTAATCGATCATGCCATTTTCGCTTATTTTGCTCTTGAGATGGTAAGTCTAGTAGCATGCGAACAAGGGAGGGTCAAGAAGTCGAAGTAGCTGATCACCACAAACCTCATATCATTAGTGAGAATTGAAGTGCTGATAATTCTGCTTTCGCAATCGGCAGCTGAATTTACCCCGGCCATAAGTTCATTTGTAGACTACAGATACACAATTTTTTTTCGAAAAGTGCTCAGCAGAAAGGAAAAGCAGATTGGAATCAGCGCTCCAAGCTCTCATTAACGGCATGCAGTATGTGGTGGTCGGCCACTTCGACTTAATGACCCATTCTTGTCATCCTTCGTTGCATTGATCGCTTTCCCTCAGGTCATAAAAATCATCGCACTCGGTTTCACCGGACCGGCCGCGTACCTGTCAGATACATGGAATCGGCTGGATTTCTTCATTGTCATGGCGGGGTAAGCGCTAAAGTTTTGAAGCCATATGCCATCACAGACACCAAAATCCCGGCTCACATGGGCAAAAATCATACACGTTTGACAAATGTAAAGCCATAGCCATTATCTTGTCTCACTGGCGTAGCTCAGCTGCTTTTTGTTGTGTACAAGTCCAGCATATGAATTACATCCGTCTATGTGATAAAAATAATTTATTAACTCGTTATAATTATTATAATCTTATGTTGACACTGCAGTTGCCTTACATTTTTACGAAGCATAGATGTTAGGAGTACAAAATGACAAGTACTACTAGCGGCTTGTCTCTATTGGTATTTCGTTGCAGGAATGCATTTTATCTTCAGACATTAGAAAGACCACAGCTCTTTCAAGCAGAATTCTTCATGTTCCATCTAATCAGACTATTAGCAAAATAAAATGTCCATTTCTTCTTGAGAATATGTGAAGCGCGACAAAAGGTATGTAGCGAAGTAACCGGGTGGTTTTTTCATCATGAAAGTTTATCCAACTCATTATCGAGGAGTCCAATTCAACATTAAAATGTACGGATTATGGCTTCCACATCACAACACACCTCAAGCTGGCAAATTTGCTTTCTATTTTTGTGAGCGAACTTTAACTTCGTCAAAGCTTTACGACTTACCTTCTGGAACCGTGCAGAGGGTTACTTTGGAGGAACGATAAGAAGCAAAAAAGAAGAAAATCAGTAAGAGATTAGAGCAATACTTGCCTTATTTCCAAGGCCGGTTAGCCAAGCTGTAGTGAATTTTTCGATTCAAATCACGTCTCTATCCGAAAATATGAGGTTTTAGGGCAGAAATTAGCATGTTTGCAATGTTCAAGCCCATTCCTTATGCGCATATGTACAAAGTTTGGACCTATATTTCTAATCGTCTTTGTAAGAGATAACATGTTTTTGACTTTTGTGCTCGTGGAAAAGAGTGTGAAATGATATGGGTAATCCTTTGATGTATTGATCATGTCTAGATTACGTATGATCATGTGAATACATTTGTCACCTACGCTTCACATGGACCAACAAAACTTGCGCATCGATGAGCTCGAACGTATTTTTGAAGAAAATAAAGCAGCCTCATGAACTTTTTTCTTTCGCAAATATGCTGTGTAGCTCGTGCTTGCGCCAGCCTTGTTAGTCTTTTTGTGCACATATACGAAGGAATTACAGCAAGTCACTTCCATATGTTATAGAATTGCCGAATTTCTTTTGCAAGAATATCTCGGCGGTAACATCAATCTTACCGCAATTCGAACGGTACGAGTGTTACGGCCGCTTCGCGCTGTGAATCGGATACCATCAATGAGAATTCTGGGTAAGAATCTATGCTTTAAAAGTCACATATGCCAAAAATTTTGTACTTTCCTTACCTGCGAGTGTACTGTGTTGATTGTCAGACACATCAAATGCCGATCACTTAATTCTCTTTCTACGATGAAAGCCCTGCTCGAATCGTTACGTATAAAGTTTACATTCTATTCCAGTGAACCTTTTGTTGGACACGTTGCCAATGCTGGGCAATGTTTTGCTGCTCTGTTTTTTTGTATTTTTCATATTTGGAATAGTTGGAGTTCAGCTCTGGGCAGGTTTATTGAGGTGAGTATTTTCTACCTTCAAAAAGGCTTTGTAACCCATGACTGTATGCAGCTTATCTTGTAGCATCTGATAGAAACAAGCCCTGCGAAATTTTCAGAAATCGGTGTGTTATCAACTTACCAAAAACTATATCAGAAAATCAGAGCGCACTGTTTAATGATGTAAAACTGACTAGGTTAGTCTCGTTGTTCCAACCCCCTCCCCCTTTCAATGGTCATTACTGTTCTTATAGGTTCTATATTCCCGAGGATACCTCACTAGAGTACATATGTAGTCAAACAGATGCGAACGGGTTGCACACGTGCTCCAATCTGCCTCCATATACAGTGGATGGAGTAAAGCAAGCTTTATCTTGGTAGACTTTTAACTCTCCTGGTTGCTATCGAAATTTGTTAAGGTGCAATTTAACTATAAATGACTATGATCGAGTCAGTGATAAAGCGTGTATCAATTGGAATATCTACTACAACGAGTGCCAGGTTAGCCGTCCTTGGAAAGTATGCGCAAGTATTGGAGTTGGTCATATTGCTGTCCACGACTAACTTCTCCTACGATTAGTGTAAAACAATTACTTGTAAAATTGTAGGCTTGAAATTTTCAGGTTATGCAACGGAACCCATTTCAAGGCTCAGTATCATTTGATAATATAGGATTCGCATGGGTAGCGATCTTTCTTGTGAGTTTGGAATTCTGCAATGCAAATTTACACTATTTATAAAGATATAATTTTGATAACCTTACCTAGATGCAATGTTTTTAATTTTATACTCGGTTTCATATCGTTGAATATGTTAATTCATAATTTTTTGTCTCCTTTAGCAAACTAGCAATTGTATTTGCGCATGCATATTATTTGAACGGAGCTCTCTTGGCTGCAAGTTTTTTTTTCTTTCAGAGATTTCCAGTTTTTATGAGCTTGCAAAAGTCATCGTGTAGGAATTCCTGCTGGCCTCATTCCTCTGAGTAAATGAGTGTTTTCCTGTCGAACACATAATTGTTCTTCCTTGCTTAGGAAATAGATTCTGTCAATTCAACCACTTCTAAAGCGATAACAGCTCGCGCATGCGCATTTTGTATTCTGAAGAACTCGGTAAATGAGCCATTGTCATAGTTGATTAACGTTACTTCTGTATTCACTTCTAAGTGACTACAGAGTTTTATTAACTTTTTAGGGAGTAGGTCGAGAGGAAAATACAATCAAGTTTGCTTGGCAAATTCAAAGTGAACTGATGTAGTTATGTACATGTCGGTTGACACGGGAAATTTTCGGTCCATCATAGCCCCAAACTTCTCGATATTTTGATTTGTAAACGATATCGCTAAATGTTTTACTGCACCATTCAGGTTATATCGCTGGAAGGATGGACAGATATCATGTACTATGTACAAGATGCCCACTCTTTCTGGAACTGGATATATTTTGTGTTACTAATAGTTGTAAGTGGAACGAGTCACTACCTCAGTGTGCCCAATTTTGCGGATCTTTGTTTTACAGATAGGTGCTTTCTTCATGATCAATCTGTGCCTCGTCGTAATCGCAACTCAGTTTGCTGAAACTAAACGTAGAGAAACTGAGCGTATGTTACAAGAACGGAAACGACTACAAAGTCGCAGTCCCGACTCGATCTGTAGGTCCCACTCCAGAGTTTACATGATAGGGGTGAATACGTGAAGTAGCATGCTTTTTTAGCTGGCAGTGGAAGTGAGCTCGGCGGCACTTCGTCGAAGGAGGATGGCGGCGATACCGTTTATGCGGCAATTGTGCGATTTATAGGGCACACATTTAGAAGGACCAAACGCCATGTCAAAAGGGTCAGTAGATAGTAGCATATATAGTATAAATTCTATAGGAGTGCCAGAATGCAGAAGAAAGCAGAGCTTGCGCCTTTCAGAAATTCAACGCATACATGCAGCAAAGGCGGGAGAAGAAGAATACCGAGGCAAAAAAACGTAGAAAATCAAAATTGGATGACATGGCAACATTATCGCGAATCGAAGAGCACACCGATGAGGAAGAAGGTGGAGTGTGATGTTACTATGAAAAGCAACTCATTTCTTTTTTGCAACCGTCTGAGCTAGTTAAATCTCGCGAGCAGGGCCTAGAGAACCAATTTGGACGTTTCACAATGTCATTGCTAGTGGTTAAACTACAGAACCTGGCTGTGTGGAGCTGTTGCTGCTTTAGTTTGTGTTTTTCTATCAGAGCGCAAAGGGACGTGCATGCAAGCTTAGAGGCAGTAGCTCGGGAAAATTGCAACTGCACGCTTTCTGTTTCTCCTTGGCCTTCTGGATGCGTTTAAAACAGAGCTGTGTTGAAAAGTCAAAAAAGTGCTTTTTATGGCGTTCTTCTGCCTTGGAGATTGCTGAGGAGGTTGGAGCGGAGATTCCCGCAGCCGAGTCGCAATTGGCTGCCTGGGCAATCAGCCAATTGCCGTCAAAATGAGTGGTGTTACAGTTTCCTGCAGCCAGTCACTGTTTTCGGCGGGAAATTTCGCTCCAGCCTCCTCAGCAATCTCCAAGGCCGGAGAACGCCATAAAAAGCACTTTTTTGACTTTCAAAGCACATCTCTGGTTTAACACGTTTCAGACCGCGAAATCGCGCGAGGGGAAGAAGAGTGTACATTCAGCCGTTAGCCAACAAATGGATCTTGTTTCATGGACTGTATGCTACATATGTAATCAGCATGTCAGAAAGACTCCATACTCAATGTGCTGAGTGAATCATAGTATTTGAATTTTGTCGTTTGAGAAGGACTTCTGTGCTTTCCTAGAAGATAGGAACAAGAACTCAGTTTCTAATAGTATCCAAAAGTATCTATGTTGTACACGGTACACATTTAAAACTATGGTTTTTCTCTTCGAAAATGAAGCAATGAAAAGTTGCGACGTCGCACACGTCGATCGCTAGCCGCTCTTCATTGTAGCTGTTGTTCGATTTGTGCTCACATCTTTTAAACAAATATTGGCGGCAAAGCTCTACAGAGGCCTTTGAAAAAGAGGAGCTTAGACCTTTGACTTGATACTTTGTACAAAAAGAAAACCTCCTATAGACCTCAAAAAGACCCTCCAAAGCCGCGTGCTGCACCATGTGCAGCACCGGTCCGAAAAGTGTTAAACGCATCCAAAAGGCAAGGAGGAACAGAAAGTGCGCATTTGCAAATTTCCCGGCCACTGCCTTCAAAGCGCTCTATTGCGCCTCGATCCAAGCGTTTAGTAGACTCGAAAGAATTTCACGGAATACAAAAGTCTCTGCAGAAACAAATTCGCTGAGCCTGTATTGAAGAGGAGTTTACGCAATTGTTTCTGGATTTCATTAAGACTTGACACATGCTAGAAGTCGCTACGAGAGCTCAGCCTATTTTTACTTCGAGTATAAGTACACTGTACCTATTCAGAAGTTGACGCAACGATTGAAGATACGGTAGTAACGAGAAAACGGCCACGGAAAGTCACTATTGACGATGAACAAGACAAAATTGGTAATGGCAGCGCTGCAGGTTGGCTCTTCTTATTGTTCGTTAGCTATATTATCTCGCATAGCTGCAGGTCGTGTCAGTAATAATGTGGCGAGCGGCGAATGCTCTGCTAACGAAGATGAGTGGTCAGAAAATGAAGAATCAAAGGTAATGACCAACCTGCAAAACATGATCTCCATCACAATTCATCAGGTAGTGAAAAAGCAATCACGTTCACCTTCGAAATGGCAGTGGTTTCGTGACAAAGTGCGGCATTTTGTGGTTTGCGACCATTTTACGCGCGGAATCCTTGTTGCCATCCTCGTCAATACGCTGAGCATGGGTGTCGAGTACCATCAGCAGGTGGGGCTCTGAAACACTTTGGCGTGATAGTTAGTAATTCTATCTTGATTCAGCCTGAATTCCTTACGACTGTCTTGGATTACTCCAATCTATTCTTTACGGGTCTTTTTGCATTTGAAATGTTTTTGAAAATCTTTGCTGATGGTTTATTTGGTTACTTGTCCGATGGATTCAATCTATTTGATGGCGGCATCGTAGCTCTTAGGTATGGCTGACGCTACTTCCAACTGATGCTTCTCTTGCGAACAACGATTTTAGCGTTCTGGAGCTATTTCAAGAAGGAAAGGGTGGTTTGTCAGTGCTGCGCACCTTTCGACTGCTGCGAATCCTGAAGCTGGTGCGCTTTATGCCAGCTCTACGGTATCAGCTCGTTGTCATGCTACGAACAATGGACAACGTCACTGTATTCTTCGGGCTACTTGTACTGTTCATATTTATTTTCAGGTATGTCTACCATGCTTAACCCCGTATGCGTACTTCATATATCTCACTATCCTTTCACATTTCGGTCTAACTTCCGTAACTCCGCCACCATCTACTCTAGTCCGACCTCTTAAAGTTAACGCCTTCCAGCATACTTGGCATGAACTTATTTGGGTGCAAGTTCTGCAAGGTAGAGGAACGGCTACTTGGTGGGCCAGCAAAGAAGTGTGAACGAAAGAATTTTGACACTTTACTCTGGGCTCTTATCACTGTTTTCCAAGTGAGTTTCCCTACTCATTACACTCCCATTCTGCTCTTTGCTCTGCCGTTTTAACCATGTGCACTGACTAACGGTTAACTTGTGTGCATGCAGTCATATAGTGCTTAGTGCTCGCCCTTTACACCAGGATAGCGTGATCCATGGACTTCAGACATTAAGATTGGTCCTTAATGTCGTGTTTGTGATCGTTGTTGTGTTTTCAGTACTCTAGGAATGGTGCTTTTTGGTTGCAAGTTTTGTAATCATCATGAAACTGGCTTGCAATGCTCAACACAAGAAATTCGCGATGCAGAATGTGGTTGTGATCGTACAAATTTCGACTCAATTTTTCATGCCGTGACAACGGTTTTCCAGGTAGAGTAATTTTGTCTCATTGGGATTAGTTCTTGCTAATTTGAGTGAGCCGCCTGTACGAATGAATATTTGTTGTTGTGACAAACTAGATTAGTTTTGTTGTAGTGCGTTTTGTTGGGTTTCCGTTTTTTCTTATCTTTCTCCACTCAGATGTGTCGCTTCAATTTATCTCAATAATATATTCTATACGTAGATTCTCACACAAGAAGATTGGAATATGGTGTTATTCAATGGCATGGCACAAACAAATCCTTGGGCTGCACTTTACTTTGTAGCTCTGATGACATTCGGGAACTATGTGCTGTTCAATCTTCTTGTTGCAATCTTGGTAGAAGGATTTCAAGAAAGTAAAGAGGAGGAAAAGCGTCAGCAGGTGATTTCTTCTGAATCTATCGAGTAAAGCAAAAGCTCGCGAGCGACATGTTCACTGATCCTTGAACTTACTGCGAAAGATGGCACTCTTGAATTGACATGAACACATCTTCACTAGCCTTCTATACATATGGAAATGGAGACATGCGTACACTTTGAGTTTAGGAAGAAGATGCTAAGAAGAAAGCTCAGGAAGAGGAAGACGAGCGCAAGAAGGAACTGGAATTGTTACTAGCCCGATCTACCTCACCAGCATTTCTTAATGGTAAGCAAGGCAATGCAGACTGTACGTGCATACCGAAGTCCAACAGCCCGTACAACGATGACAATGAGGTAAAATGGCAGTTATTAAATTCGGTCTATAGACTAATACTCCACAGTTGCAGATGTTAACAAACAATCATGGGGATTACCAGTCGGTGGGTCCTAATCTCTTCAAAAAATATCAGTTGTGTTTGCCTAAACACTTCTTACAGACAGAAGTTCAAAAACTCGAAGAAGACAGTAAACTTCTGGATTCTGCACCCAACGCTGATCGTCGTATCATCGCTCACAATTCATCTCCTAAGCAGCCGAATGAATATAGAGACCGGTCAAAAAGGTTCGTTCCGGGTATTTTGTGTGCGAGTGCGTTGACCTTTCAGCAATTTTACTAACAAAATTCTGGGAAATACAATTTGAGCGACTGTTCATATCATTTTTTATACGCTCTATGACAACACTAATTTTTGCTTCAAACACCACCGGAAAACGCATGATTTCTTTTCTCCTATATTATTAAATATCACACGGATTTATCTTGAAGGAACTTGTAGATTTTCTGAAACTTTGGTGCAAAACGTTTGTTCCAACTTGGTATACAGTGTCCCAAAAATGTAGCACATGTTTGATCTTTGATAACAATTTTGTATGGAAAGTTTTGGGGCCTTTTCAAAACCATGTTGTAGAGATGGCTTCAACTTGAAATTACTTCAAAGTGGGACATACAAATCGCTCTTTATTACTGTAGGATAGGGTGAGAATCGAGTGTTATATTTTGTCTCGATGAAACCACACAATCCAGAACTCTTACACTAGGCTAATCAGACTAGCTGGTACAAAATTTGAATTTTGCTCTTTACCGTAATGCTTTGTTTATGAGTTATGCCTGCCAAGCGCAAGGTTGCAACTGTTTTAGTAGGTTTCTGCGAAAATGTGATTACTTCTCTCAAAAGCTTTACAAACTCGTAGGTTGAGAGTTGCCAGCATTTAAATTGGTACACAACTTATAAATTACATTCACAGTAGCTCCGTATGTTGAAAGTTCCCATCGTAATCAAGAGTAACAAAGGGCGATGGTAATGTGCTTTTATGCTGTTAATCTAAACTGAAGTCAGCTCTAAACGTGGTGCTTGAACTGCTGAATCCTTAGCAGCCTCCGTTCTTGAAAATCTAAAGGTCGGGATGAATGTGGAAAATCTAAGAAGATTCTCAAAGAATTTTCGGGTTGCGGATTAGTGTCGCACTCGCCAATCGAAAAACTTTCATCGCGTGCGTCTCCGAGAATTTTCGAACGTGAGTTTGTAACCAAATCCTCCCAGTAACCTCTGTGGAATATGCAGCTTCATAATAATGTGGATTATGATACTCAAAAGGCACGAAACAATCGCTTTATGAGTGATTATAAACGCAAAAGGTACTGGAATGATCTTCTTATATATAAAGCGGAATGTCTTTTTGTCTGTGTGTTGTCTGTCTGTGTTTACATATGTTCTATAGATAATTCCATCTCTGAGCCGAACTGTCCAAATCTCACACATACTCGGGACGGAGCGGGTAACGTAGCGTATTCGTTATAAGACAGTATTATCGATTTCATCAATTTTTAGCGATTTTCGCAAGGTTTGACCTACGAGGCTGGGTGTTGGTACAGGAAGGGGGGGGGGGGTGAGCATGCTGACTACGAAAACATGGTGGAAGCAGTGTACTGGCACTTAGAGGGACTGAGAAAGGGAAATGTTGTACGGAAGTAGGCAAACTTCTTATGAGGGCATAGGGCTGTTCTTTCTGAAATATAGTAGCTTTGGGGAAGATTTTTAGAATCAAATTTGGAGGGCTCCAAACGTTACTTGAGCACTTGCAGGTTCAAATAGTTAATCTTTCTCTGGTAGATATTACTTCGTTCAGAAAATTTTTTTGACAAAATTTCAAATTAAGAAGTAGAATTTCTTAAAATATTTTCATATTCGTCATAAAAATCAGAACGCTTGCAGGCTGAACAGACATACATCGCTGGTCATTTGCGGGCAAAACGGCGGCCCGACACATCGGCAACGCATCCACAGTTGGAGTGGTCTGTGTCAGCATTTCAATCCACAGTGCCCAATACATGGACGTCGAGCCCTTCTGGAAACATACGCTCGCGAAAAGTTTATTGAGGTAATCGCTCTGTTGTGTTCTTTGACATGCCTTAGTGCTTCGTCTATACATGCACTATGTAATCTGCAATTCAAAATCGTGGAAAACTTGTGACGAAGTTTCTTTTAACGAATTGAATTTTGCAACAGTGTACACTACTCAACACTTCGATGCTATCCCGCTATCATTCAGGCCAGCCAAGAACTGAAGCAAGCACTAGCAGAAGAAGAAAGACGAAATGAGCAGAAGCAAAATACCTGTCTGCGAAGATTCATTCGAAAAACATGCTTGTACAAAAAAGCTGAATATTCGCTTTTTTGTTTTGGCCCAAAAAACCCATTTCGGATTAGGTATGTACTTCTTCTACGTTGTTTACTGGGCTGATTATTTCTGCCTCACAGATGTCTGCAACTGACCCAGAAGAAGTGGTTCGATTACTCCATTTTGGCTTTCATCGGGATTAATTGCATAACGCTTGCTATGGAGAGGCCTTCGATTCCTCCCCATAGTTTCGAACGAAAGTTTCTGACTTTCTCTGGATATGTGTTTACACTGATATTCACTGTTGAAATGGCAATGAAGGTTTGCGGTTTCAAATACGAATAGTCTCGAGGATATTATATTCAGGTCATTGCCAATGGGTGTGTGCTCGGTCGAGGTGCCTACTTCAAGGACGGTTGGAATATCCTAGATGGGACGCTAGTTATTATATCTCTAATCAATGTTCTTTTTGAGCTCTTTGCAACTGGAGGTGGGTTGAGCGTGCGGGAAGTTTCTCACCCGAGCCATATTCCCGCACCTAGTGATGTGCCTGCCAGGCACATTCGGATTAGCTCCAAGTACGAGCTCCTCAGGATAAAAAGACATTGCAAACCCCGCCCCTTTATCCAGTTGCTTCAGATGCAGAAACCGGGATTTCAAAGAAAATGTCAAAATCGAAGTTCAATTGCGAAATTGCTCCAATCGAGACTAAAGATTTAGGGGTTTTCGAGGTTGCTCTTTTCAGTAGTGAAGTTTGTTTGTTGCAAAGTCAAGCTTCAGATGCCCATCATGCCCAACCGAGATCAATCGGATGAAATTAAGGTTTAGGGGTGAAATTATGAGTGAACTATTGCAAAAAAAATTCCCGTAGCATAAATTGTATTTGGTTGTTTTCAAAATAATAAAGTTGCTTTTCTTCCATCGTTTGACACCATTCAGCTTTTGGGTCAACTATGAAGTTTTCTGGTATTGGGACAGCCTCAATGACTTCACTGAGCGGTGATATTTCAAGAAATACCTAACTGGGTCATTATCGGTGCTGTACCTTGGCATATTCTAAGAAAACTGAATTTCCGAAGATACTAACAATCACATATGTATCACAATCGGAATCTCATATGTACATATTTTTGCATTTGGCATTTCATTTCTAGGAAAATTATTCCGTTTTTATGAGACAAACATTTTTTTTGTCTCCAGAAAAATGTTCAAAGGATCAAGCTATAGATATCGCACAATACATCAAACGAAAAAGTGATTTCGAGAACCCGTAAATTGAACTGCGGTCGTGCTTTGAAGGAAGCAAAATTCGAAAACCCTAACTCCGAATTTTGAACTTGGTTGGGGCGTTAGCGGTGCTAAACCTCGATCTTGCAACAAACAATCTCACTACTGAAAAGAGCAACCTTGAAAACTCCTAGACCAAAACTTGGTCTTAATTGGAGAAATTTCGCTACTGAACTTGTTTTTGCAACTTTCTTTGATCTCGGTTTCAGCGTTTGAAGCGACGCTGAGTAAATGGGTGAGACTTGCAATGTCTTGTTATCCCGAGAAGCTCGTAATTATAGCTACTCCGAATGTGCTTAGCAGGCACATGCGAGAACATGGCTCGGGTGAGAAGCTTCCACCCCCGTGGGTTGAAATTTTCCAGGATGATGAGGAACATTCGATACCTTTACTAAGCTCTGATCCTGTATATGTTTTGCAGAGCGAAAATTCTCGAGCTTGTAATAAAGATTGTAGTTTTCAATATAGCCAAAGTCAAATCAACTTCATGGAGAGATTCTTTGCGCTCCATGATAAATAGGTAACTGAGACTGTGAGATTGCCTTTATTCAGACTCTCCAAAAATTTTTGGAGTGATTCGAGTGCTGCGCCTTCTGCGAGCTCTTCGACCATTGAGAGTTATCAACCGAGCACCTGGTGTCAAACTTGTGGTGATGACACTCATATCTAGGTAACCATGCCATTGCTACAGATCTCTCCTATCGTTTTTTCGAATTTTTTTCGAAAAACCATTTAAAGGTGATTTATAACGCCGCTTTCCAGCTTGAAGCCTATCGGAAACATTGTACTCATCTGCTGCACTTTCTTCATCATATTCGGCATACTCGGTGTGCAGCTGTTCAAGGTGAGATTACGAAGTGACTTAATTCTTTGGTAAAACCAGAAGACGACGAAAACTGCACACCTATGCTTGGACATACAATCATTTGTAATATATCTCCTTTCTGGAAGCTCCGAACAATTCTAATTACGTATAACAATTACAATCACGTATACTACGTAAGCGCGGTTCAGAGGGGGCCACACGATATTGCGTACGCTGAGTGCTACCAGGGCTCGGCACGAGGTGACTTTCCGAAAATGCAAGAAGCGAAGTCCCCCCTGACTTCCAAATTTTACGAAGTCCCCTTTGGACCTTATCCGAAGCCGAATAGACTCAAACGTTAACTAGAAAAAACCTAATTTCGAACCCAGAAAACCGCTTTGCTTTTTATCCCAAAAGCGATATCAGTTTGCGTATAAGCCACCTGTGCCGAGTCCTGTGCTACTGCCGAAGACCGCAACGACGCTTTTCAGAATATCCAGATTGAACTGCTAGCTTGGCTCTTCAAAGCTAATTCCAGGGAATGATGTTCCATTGTGTCGGGCCAGACATAGCCAACGTCACCAATAGAGATGATTGTCTGCGCGATTCAAGGAACAAGTGGGTCAACCACCGTTACAACTTCGATAACTTGGGCCAGGTAGCAGCTTCAAACGATTTCAAAACATTGAGCTAGCGGGTTTCAGGCGTTGATGTCGCTTTTCGTTCTTTCTAGTAAAGACGGTTGGGTATCGATTATGTATCAAGGAATAGACGCAGTTGGTGTGGATATGCAGGTTCACGATTTGAAATATTGGTTTGGAGCGTTCCAGAAATCTTCCTTTTTAGCCGATTGAGAATTACAACGAATGGCGGATGATTTACTTCATATCCTTCTTGCTTCTTGTGGGTTTCTTTGTCTTGAACATGTTCGTCGGCGTCGTCGTCGAAAATTTTCACAAGTGTAAGGAAGCGTTAGAAAAGGTAAGCATTTACTAATTTACGACAAAGGACTTATACGAAAGGATGCTTAGGAAATGCGTGAGAAGGCACGAGAAAAACGCTTGCAAAGAAAACTCAAACGCCAAAAATACGAAGAGAGTATGGCTGGCAGGAAAAAGAAGGGTAATTTCGGTTACCCTTTTGTTTCCCTCAGCTTGTTATGCGTGAATTTTTTAGTGAAGAAAAATCAACCGTATTGGCATAACTACGGCACAACAAGAATGTTCTTGAATGGAGTTGTCACATCGAAATATTTTGACCTTGCTATAGCGGCAGTAATAGGCCAGCTTTTCGTTTCTCACTAAGTATGGTAGAAGAAAAACTTCTCCTTTAGGCATTAACGTAATATCCATGGCTATGGAGTTTTATATGATGCCGCCGGGCCTAAAGTATGTGCTGAAAGCCTTGAATTATTTCTTTACGGCCGTTTTTACCCTTGAAGCAGCGATGAAACTTGTGGCTCTTGGTGTGAGGAGGTTCTTTAGTGAAAGGTGAGATTTTTTTTCTGTAAAGTCCATATCACTGACTTCTTCTTCGTTCTAGGTGGAATCGACTAGACATGTTCATTGTCTTTCTGTCCGTTGCTGGTATAATATTCGAAGAGTTCGAAGCTCTTGAGCTACCCATCAATCCGACAATTATCCGAGTTATGAGAGTGCTACGCATTGCTCGAGGTTGTATTTCCTTCTATACCCCACGAGAGGGTTATACTGATAGGAGGCTTCACATTCCTAATCTCCAATAAGTAAAGGCTGCCAAAGTGCAAATGTAGCTCATGCACACCTGCCCAGTTGAATTCATCACCCATATCTCTTTGGATAAAAGGGTGTATTTGTCTGATCTGATTATTTGTATTTATAGTATTGAAGTTGCTCAAAATGGCAAAGGGAATCAGATCTTTGTTGGACACCGTTGGTGAAGCACTTCCACAAGTAAGCTTCTTTTGATTCTCGTTCCATTTTGGGCTGAAAGCAATCGTTGCAAATCAGTCGTTAGTTGGTAATATTCATGCTACACGACTTGAGTGAGACGTTACTTCTTCAAATTCCAGGTTGGAAATCTCGGATCGCTGTTCTTTCTCCTGTTTTTCATCTTCGCCGCTTTAGGCGTTGAGTTATTCGGGAAGCTCGGTAATCTTTAATGAAATTCCATCTCTGTATAGTCGCGGACACACAGTGCATAAGCATCGTTTAGAATGTTCCGAGGACCACCCGTGCGATGGACTGGGAGAACATGCACATTTCAAGAACTTTGGCATGGCATTTCTTACTCTTTTCCGCATAGCGACCGGTGACAATTGGAATGGGATCATGAAGGTGGTTGAATCGTTTGAAAATCGAGTTGTAATAGCCTCACGGTCTGATTACTAAGGATGCTCTTCGGGACGACTGCGACTCGACAGATCACTGTGAGACGAATTGCTGCGTAGATCCAATCTTAGCACCTTGCTTCTTTGTGATATTTGTGCTAATCTCGCAGTTTGTCCTTGTTAACGTCGTCGTTGCCGTGTTGATGAAACATTTGGAGGAAAGCAATAAACGCGAGGCCGATGACGCTCCCGACGGCGGTCAAAGTAAATCTTCACCACAAAAATGCCTTGGTATCAAAATTATTTTCAAGATTCAGCGTCCGATGTTGAGAAGGAGAAAGACACCGACGTCGAAGATTGCACAAATGAAAAAGAGATCTCAATGAATATGCTTGAGCAAGAATTGATAGAAGTGGAGCAACGTATCGAAGAGGAGATGCGGCGTCGGGAGAGCACTTGTCGCACAGAAGCGGAACTTCAGCTTTTGTACGCGAGCAGCGACACTTGCAGAGGTATTTTTAGAAAGGATTCACTCTTGTTGTACTTGATAAAGGTTTAGAAGAAGATGTCGATTACGATGAGAACTTGTCTGCAAATCGTTCAGCCAGAGATTTCGCAAGGTTTGTGTATTTCACTACGTTGAGATCAACTCGCACTGCGCCTTGCATGCGTGCGTACAAGCATGCAAGGACTGCATTATGAATTTGATCAGTCTCCGACCTCGGAGATGTATGTAGAAATAGGCCTACGTGCCATTCATTTCGTGTGGTGAACGGACACTATATGCAGTGAGGTTTGAAGAGGTTAGGTATAGACTAGAACTTCTAGCAAGAAGAAGTTGCCTGTGGCTCACAAGATTGCCCATGGCGAAAGACTCGTTGCTGTTTTTTGTTCTTACTAATGGGTCAAATATTTACCTTGCCATTTTGAAGTTTTCAAATAGCTCCTAGTGAGAAGGGAGAGATCATTTGTTTGAGATTGCAAGGCTAGTGGAGATAATCTGGTTATCACCCATAGATAGTGAGATCTACATATTAAATATGCGAAATTCTCTTGATCCGTGTAATTCTCAATTCCAGGCTAGCAAACGAAAGTGCATCCGTTGGATCTTCGCCACACCAATGATTTCAGCTAACCTCAGCTGAACGTTTGTTATTCACAGTGTCATTTTCCACAATGTGTCTTCAGCTCAGTTTTCGTTTACACCGATCTGAGAACGTTTTACCGGTATCCTTTATGTAATGCTTTGTACAAATTGTTTTCCAGTCGTAAGAATATCGGAAGATATTGATTTTTGATTACTTTTCCGTTGTCCGGACCCATTTTTTCAAAAAGCTCTTATAATTACGTGCTTTAGTTTGAAAATACATTTTCACGGTGACAGGACAGTATACTACCATTGTCTGGGAAAATTTAACCGTTCTGGTTCAGTTTGACATGTTTTTTTTTCAAAATTATTGCGGTATGGTACGAGAGCTTTTGAGATGACTCAGAGACTGTTTTTGACACTTGTTTTTTTAATAAAAGCAGAACAGTCCGGAATGTATATTAGAGCATTCCGATCGCTTTGAGCAATGCCTCAAAAGCATCTTCCTCTTCAAAACTGTTCAAGCCATGCGATTAGCTAGGAAAGATTCTAAATGATAAGTGGCCGCTTGTTTCGCAACCTAAATGTTAAAATCCTAGCACTCCTCTCTTTTCTGCAGAATGTAATATGATCACCTCAAAACGATGACGCTATCACTATTTTTATTCTTTCAAATTGACTATTGACCTTGAGGGGTGCATGGATCAGAAAACAGGTTGAACCCATGCAAGTAGGTAGACGGCACGAAACTCCTGGTAAAGCCTTTGATCAATATGACATGTCAATTTTCCTTGACACATGGAAGTAGGTTGAAACTTTTTTCTCGAAAAGTTGGGACTACATTTGGTTCAAAGAAATAATTGATCCTTCTTGAAAAAAGCGGGTCCGAATAAGGGAAAAGTACCAATAATTTTTTTTCCAGAGGCCTTGTCTGCATTCTATTCTCGCATTTTCAAATGCATTTCTCACTGTCTATGATCACATGCAGAAAGTTATTTGTATTTCTTTACTTAGTTGTCATCTTCCCGCTGAGAACATCCGTTTTCCGAATTCACTTGCGATGATCTACTCTGTCGTTCAAATGTTGATGTAAATATACATTTTAAGACAGTCGAGTTCTCACTTTGGTCAGTTTTATGCCCATAACTCGCCACCGCTCTTCCAGAGACTATCCTTGATTGGTTTCATGCTAACCGAAAACAGATGTCAAAGTAGACCCTAAAAGTCGGTGTCACCTTTTCCCTTAAAAAGCTTCTTAGCATTTTTTCCAAATTAGTCCCTAGTTTTCAGTGCGTTACACCCCCATACCCAAAGTTCTGGGTGAATTCGAGGTGTTTGAATTTCTTCGCTTAAGAAGGACTTTTGAGTCATATGAAAAGTAGGAGCGTAGGCCTTTGACTTGATAACGTTTGACTAAAGGAAACCCGGGGGGGGGGGGGGGGGGAGGGTATCGTTACGTGTGGGCTGCCAATTGGAAAACGTCGCGCGCGACAGGTCGCCAATGACAGCAGTCGGGGAATTCAGCCAGCATGATCCGTAGCACATAGTTTTTAGTTTCTCATCCTTTGTTGAGGTTCACAGACTATTCTCATAATAGTTATGCTTAATTATTTGAAGTTCCCCACAAAAGTTGTACAATGAGCTCTTTAAAGGACAAAAAAGACACGAATTGAAGAAGGTAAAAGACTAACAATATAAAAGAAGCATTGATAATCAGGTGGTAAAAATCTGACAAGTTTTCTGCAATGCTGCTCCCCGCGCGCAGTTACTGTAACGCCGCGTTGCGACGTTTTCCATTTGGCAGCCCGCACGTTACGAGCGCCCCCCGGTACTCTCTTGTAAAAGGGGTAGAGGACATTAGGTCGCCGAAAAAGGGCGGTCCCCGCGGTCATTTGCGACAAATACGCACCCTTGTACATGCGCGGACATGCGTTCCTGCAGGGAATCCGCGGGGGACTCTTCCAAATTCGGCGACCTAATGTCCTCCACCCTTGTAAAAGTCGAAAAGATCCTTCAAAGCAGCGTGCTGCACCATGTGCACCACCGGTCCGCAACAAGTATGTTCCATGGCTCGGCGGTCTTTCCAATACCGCCGCTTTGCATGCCTCTCGCGCGTTTGCGAACTCGTTGGTAAGTAATAGTTAAATCGACAACTGATAAAATGATGCGAAGCTGCTACATACCTCGTGTAATGAACTCTGTGTCTTCGGACAGATTTCTACCATTCCATGTTATGACCCTCGTCATAGCCTTGAATATCTTGCAGTTTCAGTGCTGAATCGCAACTGTCCACATTATTGAGGACAGTAAGAGTCAGAGTAGTTTCTATCTATTACACAACTAATGGTTTTGTTCAAGAAAGTGTATTACAAGATATGTACATATGTGGAAAGATTTTCAAGAAAGTCTGTCCCGAAATCATCAAAGGGGTAAGTTCGTGAACTAAACAAGATGACGTCGAAAGAAAGGAGATTCTAGTCTTGCAGCTTCACATGGGCGATGCCTCGTCGATTCATGGTAGCCAAACACGCAACACAAACCAGAAGAGATGAGGCAAATGCAGAGAGAAGACTTCCGGCTGCTAGTGGAGAGACACAGATGTCCCCGTTTGATGATTGACGAAGGGATGAAGGATCTAAAAGAAAGCAAAAGTTTGAAAAGCTCAGTGCTGGTTACATCAAAACCAGATACCAGTCGAAGTATCGTCGATATCGAACACAGTCATATACTGTGAGACGACGTCAACATTGTTGTCATCCTCACTCTCAGAAGATCGCTTTCCTCTCAAAGTTCTTGGGCAGTCGTCTGATGTGCGCTGAAACATTGAAGAATAATAGTGTTAAATGGTCTTGAATCTTGGGTAGTGCCTTTTTCACCTTACAAACGCTTCCATCTTTTATGGTGATGCGAATTTGACACTGGAAGAAAAGCGAAGGTTGGTCGGCAAATTTGAACACCTGAATGCTCTGCTGAGTGTTTTGAAATGTAACGAGAGTTGAGGCAACCCACTTGGGACACTTGGCCACCTGTCAGGTCTGATGTGTACTCCAGATTGTTTAGGAGGTACCTGAACACCGTGCAGCTTTGGCACTCGAACACGCTCTCGTTACGCTCTTATAACGTGCTACGAGAAAGGCTCTAGTTCGTTAAAATTCATTTAACATGCCTGTCCACAGCGCAACCATTCTCGTCAAGCAACTGCACTTCGCGTCCTCCGTCCTCCTTCACATTGCAGGAGTGAACCGTAGCGCAAAAGGATGAGTCATCTAAACAACGCAGGAGGTCCCAGCAGCTGGTGTGACTTCACCAGTAATTGCAGCAAAAGAAACGCAAGGCAACCAACCTGCCAATTTTCCATCTGGGTCACATGTCCACTCATGGTAGACTTGTTGACCTACTGAAGCAAATTTCAGAGGTGTTCCATTTTTTCCCTCAGAAAGAACCTAGAATTAAATATTCAGTAATTCGCTCGAAAGAGTAACAGGAACTAAAACGTGTGCAAGGCTGAATCATAGTTTTAGTTCTGAAGGTCTTTAGTACACAGCGGCATATATGAGAAAATCACAGAACCGCTAGTGGCGAAGTTTGCTATTTTCTATCTTTCATTTTTTTCTTGAGTTCTTGCTACACAAGAATCTAGCATGTGAATATAAATATAAATATAATATAAATCTGAATACATGACGAAGGGCCGTCACCCAGGTAAGCTGAGCGCATGCGAGAATTGCGCGCGGGCAACTGCCAACCATGGAGCGCGCGCATACGCAGAAAATGAGACATACACGAGAACAATGACCAGAGAAATGAATGCATGCGAAGAGTTGAAGAACAAAAAGAAAGGCCACAAGAAGAGGTGACGAGGCAGTGACACTAATACAAGTGTATTTATACAGTAGTGAACGATGATTGTGCTCGCGCATACAAAAATGATGACAAGACATTTATAGCGGGTAGATCTGTGAACAGTGCGCACATAAGTCTAATACACGCGCCAAAATATATAGGCAATTCATCGCACGCAAAAACTGCGGATGTATCGGCGTCTCTTTCAAGTGCTCTTTCGTTTCTTTCAGCCCCTGCTGTTTCTCCCATGCACAAGCTATCTTGCTTAAAAGCCGATATATGCAAGTGATGTCGAAAATCGGGTATTCGCGAAGCCCGCACATCTTTTTGCATATAGCAGACACACGCACTCAACCACATGATACCTGATCCATGACCAAGGCAGTCACCCAAATAAGCTGGAGCGCATGCGAGACTGAAGTGTGAACGGCGCGGGCAAAGTGTTATGCATGGAGCGCGTGACGCAATAGCTAGCCAACCTTGGGACCCGAACACCCCTTTTTTGTATTCTAGACCGTATCCTGAATGAACTCTTCCTTCGCCTTCACTCGGAGGTAAATTTTTAGAACTTTATAGAGTCTAAGATGCTACCATGTAGTACCCATCATACATTTTTGGAATTCGTCTTGTTATTTTGCCATAAAGAAAACAACATTCCTTTCAACTAATACTTATGCATGAGATTTAGGAGAGCGGAAAGTGGTTCGCAAAAGATTTTGGGTTGCAAAAATGCCCTTGCTGCATTTCCGATAACATTCTTCTTCCCTCCAAAATCGTATTATTGAAACAGCCATTCCATGGCGGTCTAGGTGACCAACAACCAGTCTTTCGGCATACGCGAGTCTGAGAGATTTTTAGCAAAGCATAGCAGTATTTTCGTAGGAACGAGCAAAGGAGTTCGTTCGTGCGCGTTCTATGCAAGGCCAGCACTGAGTATGGATTCTAAGAGCGCATTTCGCAGGCCTAGTAGTGTGTAATAAATGTAACCCTCTTAGCAGATGTCAACTACTCTTTCTATATGAGTAAGTCCGTAGCGAACTCTACTATCAAAGCTAAAGAGCGTCCGCGTTTTGCGCTCAATGCAAAGCTGTTAGTCCATCGGCGACAGTTCATAGTGCGAAAGAGAACAGAGAAGAAAGCAGTGAGAGTGAATGAGAAAAAAGGTAGACGACCTTTACCAATTTGGGCTATTTGGTTCTTATGTGGGTTTTTATTGGAAAGATGTGAGTTTATGCTGCTTTACAAGCAATAGTAAACCTGATATTTGCATTCTGGCAGCGGCACCGTAGCAGTGAGTGTTTCGCCATGAAGGTTGTGACCAGGGCTGAAACACAATTTAAGCGTTTGGAATCAAAGGTAGGGTCTCTGCAATGTGGTCTTCGATTGACCCTATCAAGAACAGTATCCCACTCGTGAAGAACATTCGACGGTCGACTTCCCTTGGACGCCCCTTCATCGCCAATGACAACGAGCACATTCCTCTGCATGTTTCCACCTTCACTGGAAGCATATCCTTACAAAATTACTCACGAATGTGTCGAGATTGCTCCAAAGTTTTCGACTGCTTTTGGTTTTTTACTATATTTGTTTCAGTAATCACTTCGAAGAAATCATACTACCTGACATTGAGATTTTGAGTAACAGTCCTTGCTGTTTCAGCGTAGAAACACTGTACTCTATACGACTTGTCAATCTTTGTCACGAACATCTGAAATTACCGAAGTAAATTGAGAGCAGAAGAAATGACTTTTACAGACGAATAATACAAGAAAACGGCTAGAAACAGATGCAGAGCTGTGCTAGGTTCTACCCAGCAACTTAAGTTCATCCAAGAGTGGTATCTATTTCTTGCCCTCTAAAAGCAATAGATAGAAATTGTCTATTATTCACATTATTTGTATGAGTGAATCTAAATTTTGGGTCTGCATTAAGACAAGTTATTGTTTTCCATTTCCTTTCCGTAAATAAACAGCAAAAACTGTTTTATCCGGTATGTGCTCGCCTCCTTCCCCCCCCCCCCTCCCGCTCGATTTTGAAATTGGCGAAGATGAATTACAATATGCTATTTGAAGCACCCCATTAACTTCTTAAAGGGTCCTCGGATCCCTATATGCCAGTGTCGGAGCTCCCGGAAGTGAATGAGAAATTTTTCAAGGCACTTACATGAGTTATGGTGCAAATGGCCTGTTTAGCTATTGGACACTTTTGAAAGACTTTGGAAGTTCGAACAAGCTTTGTAAAAAAATGGGGTGGTTATCGATCTCGAACGAAATTTCTCGCACCGTTATTGGCATATATGCTATATCTTAGGTATGGTCAATTTCAAGGAAAGTGATTGCGAGAAGATCTTTAGATAAGTGAGGTTCAGGGTGCTTCTCAGATTTTTGGCAAGGTTTTATCAATAATTAAGCTATCTGAATGATCTTGTTGCTCTTGAGTACCTACAAGGATTTTTGTTATCATTCGCGGAAGGGGGGGGGGGGGAGGGACTCATTAGCCTCTATGTGCAATCTTTTCAACGCTCCTTCAAGTTTTTCTCTTGCTTTTTTGCCGCAAAAAGAAATTGCTTGACCTATGCACCCAATGTTTTAGACTTTGTGCAGGAACCTCTGGCAGATTTACATCTAGTGCCGTCCCAAAGAGATGAAGTACTCTATTTTGCAAAGTGAGATATCAAAACAGTGTTTGAGCAGCAGTTTTGGCATGTCTGATATGGTCATTATAGCATTTGGTTGCTTATGAACAACGATGATAATCATTCATACATTTGACATCGATGATATAAAACTTTTTTTGCAAATTTGAGTAGAACTTTTCAAGTTTTCTCCATGAGGTCTGACATAGACTTCAAATAGAACGAACCTGCGATGGAGAATAAAATTATAAATGAAGAAGGGACCATTATAATGTTTAAAGATCAAAGAAAGGGGGGAAAGAAGTGCTGATGACAGTTTTATCAATGCTAAGTAAAAACACTTGTAATTCCTTTTTTCAATTCCATTTTCATTCTTCATGTCCAAGCAGCCTTTCTATTTACTTCGACACACGCCCTGTGTATTGAGATTGATGAAAATGGTAGAGAAGTTAGCAGGAATCATCACAGTAACGTGCAGACTATCTCTTCCACCCTCCGGAAAGTGCCGAAGAAATGGAAAAACTGGCTGCGTGAGGGCAGATTCACGATCTCACCGGTTATACTAAGCCTTAGCTTGGGTGTGGTGCGGAAGGCGACAATCCCCAATTTTGTGCCTATCAAAAACTCTCTGGTGTTAAAGTGACACCCCGGGGGACTACGGGGGTGGCGGGTGGGGGCAGATACATTACTCAATGCCACAAGCAGAAATCCGTGAAAGTCATTGAGACGGATGATACACAGCCTCCATTTTTCGCCGATTGTCGCCTTCCGCGTGCCCCCCCCCCTTAGCTTTCCACTAGGACCGGTGCGCGCAGTGACGTTGCCTCAAAAACTGACCAATATTCCCGTAATTTTCTTGATTATATGACCTCCGACCTCATATGTTGTGCTATAGTTTGCTGCTGTGCGTGCACCTTTTAGGAATACTGAATAGACTATGACGATTTTGTGTGAGATGCGAAAAACAACTGCGCTAGGCAGCCTCTCCTTTTTTTGACAATTAGGCAGTCAAGCTGGTTATGAAAGACGAGCTATTACCTACTTTCCATCACCCACATAAGGAATTATTTTGATTCTAGTAAATTATTCCAACGTTTGTTCCTTGCGTGGGCAACAGAGGCAACATTGCTCGTGCCATATCCATGACCTTTCACGGAGTAATAAGTTTGCCCTTTATTCAAAAAATCATTTTCAGGGTCATCTAGTGTAACCTGTGTTGGAAACTACTTTGCTTTAGAAAGTGCGTAAATGCTTAGAGACGATTGAAATGATCTTACGCACATTATGGGACGTTGACTACTTCCTTTTGTTTTTACTTCCCCTAGAAGGGCATACTCTGTTTTGAAAGGCGGTTTTGATGTTAGAAAGCAGTTGCAACAGTTCAATGGAAGGACTCAGGGCATAGGAAGGGATGTAGCAAACACATCTCATTAGTCCAATGTAGAAAAGGAGCTCGCTTCGGAAACGTTCAACTGTTGTCAGGCATTGAGTTGGAAAACAAAACAGCGATGACTCCAGATATGCTGAATAAGCCTACAGTGATCGAGTAAACTCACCGGATGGAAAGAAATAATGATGGTTGAAACGAGGAGAAGACCGCGGGGAGAATTCTGGAATAGCTATTATTAACGTCGCTACGCCAAATTAAGCCCTTAATGCTCGCATGTATGAGAATCGTATGCCATGTAGCTGAAGCACCTCTTGACCTCCACTAATAGCCATGCTTGAGTGCTGTGGATTATTATGGCTATAATATAGCATATCTAGTTGGAACATTTACAAACGAGCATTACTGCTTTTTCAACAGCATATTCAATTCTGGTATAGGGCAAAAAAGCTGCCACCGTTGTACAGTCCTCGCTCTATTCTGTTTGGTCTTCTGACGACATCGCAAATTTTTGAAGAGATTTTGTGTCACATTCAATGTCAACGCAGTCTAATCGGGTAAACATGGTTTAGCGCTAGGCCAAGTGGTCACGGATCATTGTAAAACCCACATTTTCAGAAGTTACGGGCATCCGAGACTCGCACGTACTGTAGAGTCATTATTAGATTTTGGTAGAATTTAGTTTTCTTATTTTCCTTCCCTTTAGGCAAATTCCGCACAGCAAGAAGAAACTAGAACATACCGATCTTTGTCGTAACACATCACATTCTGTGAAACCAACTGTCAAGTTGGCTGAGTTCTCCAGCGAAGCATCCGATCGACATCCAGGTGTCCTAAAAGGCTTAGTATTTTGCTTGAATATTGCCAAACTTCTAGCTGAACCAAGGGCTGTGCGATGGTAAGCAAGTTATCTCTGTGGGAAAGATTGCGAAACGCATGAAACATTCTTCTAACAAGGAAAGGATACTTGGTTACCCCGGCCATGTGGAATGCGATGTATACCAAAAGGTGCACTTCGAAATGCTGATTCTAAATCTGTGCTCGAAATCTGCGAAACGATCACTTGAAGGCAGTTATGAATTTTTTTCGTAGAAAATTTGCGTACTTTTGAGTACTTAAAAATCACCCAATATTTGATTTATTTTATCGTTTGAGACTTTTGAGGAGAATCTTGAAAGGTGTAACGTTATATTTATACCTACCTAAACCATATTCAGAAATTGAAAAGGAAAGAAAAATTTTCATTAATGACTTCACCCTCCGCAGTAGCGCAATTCATGAAAAAATAAACATAATCCATCCAGGTTCTCGTTTCGCAGATATGGAAAGCAGTTTTCGAGCCTGCATTAGAAGGCGCATTTTTTGATATACAAACGAAATGAGTGGTCGGGGTCACCAAGTATCCTTCCCTATTAAGTGCTCGCTGAAAGAGAGCGGTAGCTACAGAAAGCAGAGATTTGGGATTCCTCATTTTGCATTAATAGTATCCTTTGCGATACGATTGAAGAACAGACCCATAGTGCCCTTTGACGTAAATGTGTCCTTCGAAGGGTGATCGCGTCCGGAAGCGTATGCTCAAACTTTCGCTACCGCATTCTATCACTGGCTCTCCTGCAAAAAAACCGTCAGAAACCACATCCCAAAATTTCTTGTAGTTCTGGTAATATCTATGAGGTCAAACTTTATACGATACGAAGAAAAAAATTTTAGTCTTCCTTCCAATTCATGCTCATTGTCTACATTTGCACTTCATCTGCGCAATATCGACCGTAAAAAAGCCACTAAGCCAGAAAATTTGTTTGTCCGGCGATGTCAAAAAGAGGTCACAGGTGCACTTAGCTATATTGGGCGAACTCACCGTTCAAGCCATTGTCGATTACGTCAGCCAGAAATGCCGGTGAGACCTAGAAAAGCTTCAATTTCGAACAAATAACTGGAATTATCTGAATTATTCGAATGGATTCTTTACTCTACCAGTAAAGGGCAAAGCCTTAGAAGCCATCGAACCATCTGAAAAACGTCTAGTTCAGATTAACGCGGAATACTGACGAGTTAGGCGAATAACAACTATCATTCTTCATGGCTAATCGGTATAAAATGAAGGAAACGAGTATTTCAACTTCATCACGTGGAAATGTTCGTGAAACAACAGGAAAAAGACACTTAAATTGATTGGTAGGGAAGGGACAGCAAAGGAGTCGAGCAGTTCGTGATCAACGACGGTCGCCCCGAAATCACGAACTGTACCGCGCCAACGAGTGCACCCCACAACAACACCTTGGCAGAACGGGAAACTCTCTCGCTTACGATCCGACCGGAGTTTCTTACAACGTCGACACGACGGCTTTGTGCGAATGCTGCCCGCGTGCCCCGTGCTAGAGTTGGACCATGCCAACTGTCTTATCCAAACAAGTAAGTGTGGGTCGAAGTAGTTGGAAGTTCTTCGAGTGCTCCACCCCCAACGGCAGGATGAGACAATCCACGAGAACAAGGCCTAAGACTAATGCTGCGAAAAGGCATTAATCCTTCATGTGAGTGGGCGTGAGACTTCCGATGGAAACAGTCCGAGGGCGGTACCGGGCTGGTTCACGATCGATCGTTGCCATTCTCAACAAATTCGTTAAGCGTAATGTGTAAATGTGTGTCACCTGCAAAAAGTCGAGAGAAAAAAATGCGCAGACGATTATGTGGACTTCCCGCCGCGCTCAAGTATACTGCAATGTAAATTGGGACGTTCGATGTTTCCTCTTGTCTATTGTAAACTTCCGATTCCGGCGCAAATCTCATGAGAGTTTCGCTTTTTCACTATGAAGAATGGATTTGACAAACTCAAAGCAACGCTTTATTGAACTCAGCACGCAAATGTGCAAGGGTGTGCTTGCTTCCCCGAGCCGGTAAACGATGAATGCCATTCTGTTGCGTGGAATGTCCGTACCTCGGGAATCCTATCTTTCGATATCCTTCAAAAATCTTTTCGGAAAGCACAGCTACGTCAGGAAGAACTCGTATCTTTTCATACGAAACAACCATCGTGGAACACACCTTGATTTCATACAAGAATCGTACTACTTCTCACCTAATATAGACAGTTCAGAGCGTAATGTGTTAAACAATAACACGCTGTTTCTATCAAAGGTGCACTGCAAGTTTTTATTGGGTAAATTCGGACTTCGACGTAATATGGTAAACAAACGAGAGAGAGGTGTTCTCTGCCGAAAGGTACAAGTGAAATTACATTACTAATGGGCTCCATGACTATACAAGAGGCCACAATAGCTCCTTCACGAGGTTCAAGGGTTTCAAAACACAATTTAAGACTTTAGTCTTTCTATCACTTTTCTTTTTTTTTGTAGAATCAATGCCATCGATGGTGCAGAAATTACAAAAACCTTCAAACAGTTGCTTGAAGTTTAGGAAAAATATGGAAAGCCACTGCGCTTCGCTATATAATCTGATTACCTAGTAATCCAAACATGTGAGATCAGGAACCCTTGTAGGAACACCGTGCGAGGAAGCGACCAGGTCACGCGGAATAGTTGGAGCTTTTCCCTAGGCACTACTTTGAAAAGGTGTCCATTATTCTGTTGTTCTGTTTCATTATTCTATTGCCAGAAAGGGCGCACAGTGTTCATGCTGCAACAGGTTTTGTCTATAGCGGTCACGTATATTTACAAAGTTCGAATGCCGGATCACACGATTTAGGCTGGCTGTGTATAATTTTTTTCATGGTCAATGTGGATTCACGCCATGAAATCACGGAAGGAAATAAATCGACATGAATCGCAAGAACCAAGAAGATGGTAATTTTACTCTAGCTACAATGGATACTATTCTCAGCAAAGGTTTACGCTGCCATCTGTTTGACCTCACGCGTAACGACGCTGTTTGAATGTTAACAATGAATAGAACTATCGCTAGCCTTCACAATAGAAAGGATTGCACAGCGTCGGTGAGCACGATCTCAACCATGGCATGATGCGATGATTTGTACGTGTCCGTGATTTCTAATAACATTATGAAAAAAATTGGTCTCATCCTTTGGGCTAACATTCTAAAACGCATAATACTTCCAAGAAGTTCAAAACGCGTCACTTTTTATGTCAAGAGCTACGAGTGACCGTGCTTTCAATTCACCATTGACGAGTCAAGCCATCCAGGAGAGTCCCAGATCAAAAGACCTCAAAACAGCATACATGAATTTACCATAAAATCTCGCGGATAGGGCCTTCCATCATATAAGTCCGTTTGCAGAGAAACCCTGACTTATTTGAAAGTCTTGGGGCTTATCTCACAACTTTAGGACAGTAATGGAAAAATAACTTATTTGATGGGCGGACTCATCTGAAGGATCCATAAGGCGGACTTACTGTAAGATCTCAGAATAGTTTACCTCATGTGCACAGTGAAGAGTTTCAAAAATTGACAAACTTCTCATAAATTGTTTCTGCTATGTTCTTTTTCATCCTATCGCTAGAATTTATATCGCTTCCTCTTCGCTGTAAACAAGCCTTCAGTTCATTTTGGGACACATTCTGAGTTCCCGCGCTTGCACGGAGAGCATATTGGAGGCGAAACTGTTTATTTTGCAGAGGAGATCTGTAGATAGTGATGAGCACTTGGGACGTCTCCAGAAGATGAGGAAGTAAAATAAAAAAAGGGGGGAGGGGGTAAGGAATTCTGGGGAGGGGATGGAGATAAAGTTGGGAGTATGTACATATGTGTATCACTTGAGTAACAATAACAGATAATTTTGTTTGGTGGCAGGGCTGCAAAAAGTTGCTTTAGAAATTAATTCGAATCTGTATTTCGCACGTCTAATCAACGGTACCAAGCTTGTTCTTTGAGCACCTTGTGTCGAGCCCCAGAGAGCGCATAAGAATTGCAGTTGGCCAGAGTGTAAGGCGAATTTGGCATAGATGCCAAAAGCCGAGTCATTTACCTTCGTCTCGCTATTAAATAAACTAATAACCTCGAAACTTCTTTTTCTAGTTACATTCCTTTGCTCATTTGAAATGTCTTCCAAACCATCTTCTGCGCAAACTGCGCGTTCAAACAGGCTAATAGGTTATACAGGGTGTCCCAAAAAAATGTGCCTACTGTTTGGTTATAAATAACTCTCTTGTAACGAAGTGTTTCGAGATGCTTTAGGCACCGTTTTGTAGAGCGAGGTTGAACTTAGATTTACAGTATGAAGCGGATCATCTATCCTCTTCATTACTGTAGGATTACGGTAAGAACTTCCAGCATATGGAACCATTGTAAAATATACCACCTAACAAAATTTTTTTCAAAAAATCTGAAAAATCGTGTATCAGGGTTTTCGCGCATGCTGATTCCACCTAACAACTTTTCACGAGTGTTTTCAGCTTTTTTGACGGTGTAATTACATTTCTGGCAAATTGGGAATTGAGTTATTACGATTTACCGGGGTTAACTTAGGAAAGAAGCATCACAGCAAAATGGGAATTTCAAATTCGAAATCAGCGGCTTCCATTACCGTAGTGTAAGAGTTTCTGGCTTGTATGGTTTCGTTCCGAGGCAGAGTGTAGCCTCCAAAGGCCTAAAATCTTTGTCGAAGTTCCTACCGTAATTCTACAGTAATGAAGAGCGATAGATGATTCGCTCCATACTGTGTAACTAAGTTTAACCTCGCTCTACAGAACGGTACCTAGCTTCTCGAAACACTTTATTACAAGAAAGTTATTCATATTCAAACAGTAGGCACATTTTTTTGGGACACCCTGTATAAGATCCATTGCTTCTGCAAGTCTCTTGTGCTAACTTTTTGTAGATCTTAGCGTCTTCAACTCTTATGCATGCTTACGGATCCTTTTTATAGCTTGACAACAAAACTTCTTGCCGCCTCAAAAAAGAATATTTAGATTGAGACAAGTTGTAAAATCAAAACTTATAGAACAACTGAGATCGAGTCCTTAGGCCTAAGGCATACCTCACGCGATTTGACCAAATCGCACGTCCGCGCGACTTGGCATTCTGCCAGATTTTCACAAACTCGTCGTGGTCGGTTTTCAAATGCATAGGTGCGTAGCTTTTGTAAGTTCTTGCAAACGGATCAGGTCCTCTTCAAATAGAGGACGTCAACGACCAACTGCGAACAGTGGCTTTGTGCCGAATCGCGCAGCGACTGAAATCGCGTGAGGTATGCCTTAGGCCTTAGATAAGACTGTGAGCAGCGGAAGACTTGATTTGTTTAACGCATCAAAGTAAAGTGTTCCCATATTATTCAAATAATTGTAGACGATAGTAGCGGTCATTCGCAATGGAAAGCTATCTTCTCAGTTGGATGTCACGAGGAGAAGGGTTAAATGCAGCTTCTGTGCATGGACGGCGTATTTATTGATCACTTCAAGCGCGAGCCGCCAGGCTAAAACTTATGCGCTCATACATTGAGGATTTCCACATCCCATATCTCAAGCATTGTGAATGAGCTAAACTTTGATGTCCACATGTGTCTAGATATTGAAAATCGGTGCACATGATTACGATGATTTAAATACTTAATATGCTAAGCAGTAAAAAGCAGAGCTTTTGAACTTAAGGCATTCAGCGATCATAAGATTTGAGGACAGAAGAAGTGTCAAGGTTTCGCATTAACCTTGCAAATGCGTGTTTGTTCAATAAAAAAGTTCGGCTCATGCAGGCAGCGTCTTGCTTTTTCAAAAATCCGCGTCGGCCTGATGTGAGTCATAATGCTTAGGTACTTCTCGTCTAACACTTCGAGCGAGTTGGGAATGTGGCATGAATTTGTTGGACAAGTAACTCCAGCCTGCCGACCTTAACACTTCGCATAGCTGATCAATCAAATTGGTTGATACTAACTTAGTAGGCTGTAGGCGCAGGACAAACGAATACCTGTCCTGCCCTAATAGGCCACAACGTTCGCATTTAGAACGAACAAGTTCTTTTTTAAAAGAACTTGCTTGCTATCAAGATAAAGTTACTAGTACAGCATAACTTTATCTTGATATCATAGATCGTAAATTAGTTATCCAGATGCGTGCAAATCACAGATTTTAATATAGGTACCTGCGTCTACAGATCTATAACAGTGATCAAGTT